AGCCACCAATGTGCAGTTGTAGGCCAGAAGGCCAAGTCTATCCTGGGCTGTATCAAAAGAAGCGTGGCCCTTGGATCACAGGAGGCAATTCTGCCCCTCTACTCTGCCCTGGTGAGACCTCACCTAGAACACTGCGTCCAGCTCTGGAGCCCCCAACACAAGAAAGATGTGGACCTGTTGGAACATGTCCAGAGAAGGGCCATGAAAATGATCGAAAGGCTGGAGCACCTCTCTTATGAGGACAGGCTGAGGGAGGTGGGGCTGTTCAGCCTGGAGAAGGCTCTGGGGGGACTTCACAGTGGCTTTCTAGTACCTGAAGAGGACCTACAGGAAAGCTGGGGAGGGTCTTTTTAGAGGGGCTTGCAATGAGAGGACAAGGGGTAATGGGGTTTAAGCTGAAAGAAGAGAGATTTAGGTTAGAGATCAGGTGGAAATTCTTCAGTGTAAGGGTGGTGAGACACTGGAACAGGCTGCCCAGAGATGTTGTGGGGGCTTCATCCCTGGAGGGGTTCAAAGGCAGGGTGGATGGGGCTTTGAGCAGCCTGTTGTAGTGGAAGGTGTCCCTGCCCATGCAGGGGAGTTGGAACTCGATGATCTTTAAGGCCACTCCCAACTCAAAAAAAATTTGTGATTCTGTAATATTCTATGTGAAATTCAGGCTCCATTGTGCTTGCAACACAGCCTGCGGAAGCAAAACCTACTGCTTATTCCCATTTGACTCTGTTGTCTGTAATGTTGTGTGGCCTTGACCATAAAGCCCTTAACGGTGCAATTGGTATGTGTATAAACTTTTGGGTGTGATAAATGTGTTTCACTAAGTTGCCTTTGCAGCAATCAGATAGTCCACAGGAGATAATACTGTGTCCTTCATGAGGCTGCTCTTCCCCTTCCCTCTACAAAATAGCTAGATACCAAAAATTAAGGAGAATACAATGGTCTGCCAGCATTGATGCTGAATGGGGCATCTCTGGGTATCTCTAGTATGTGACCCGAGATCTGCTTTGTATAGGGTGTACGTGTTTGATGTGATCTAGGAAGTGAAACATTACATAGAGCTGGCTCATAAGAATTCTCATCAAATTTATTCTTGTGACAGTCTGATCACAGACACCAGATCTCCCTCTTAGAGGAAAAGAACCCAGAAACCAAAAACCCAACCAGGTTGGCTTGTTGTTCTGGAACTCTAAAACTCTTTTTCCCTCCAAAATACCCTGAATATAATCACTTTTAAGTGTCACAGTCCACGTGGGTCTCAAATTTACGGGCAATGTACTTCGCAATATAAGCTTTATTTCATGAGATCATTAAGAAATACAACAAACAAACAACAAATAGGGGCTCAATCACCTTTTGCCCAGACTGTCTTGTCTGTCGCATGGATTCACTTAATCAACATTCAAGTAATAAGGTTTCATAACTTATAACCTGTAACTCTTAATTGTGCTCATCCTTCTTCCTGTCTCAGGGTGCAGGCATCCCCCATATCACACTGGGAAGCAGGAAAGCCTCAGCAGTCCAGCTACTGCTAGATCCACTTCAAAAGTTTTCTCGGTAAGATGGCATTTTATACCTGCCAGCTTGGGGTTTTGTCCATGCTATTTCCCAAAGTCAGCTGATTCTGAGGACACTGGCAGACAAAAGATACTGACTGCAGGAGGTAGGGATTTGCAGGTGATAATGATGCATAGAGCCCTTTGGCTCTCTCTAGCCACCTGTCCTGCCTCCCTGCTGCTGGCACTTTGACTCAAGGGCGCTGCTCCCTTGTACATCAGGACCTTGGCAGGAGCTGGGTTAGCCAAAATCTGAGCAGGAGTGGAAGGATCAGTCACATTTGAGCACACCTCATGTGTTTTAAAGGGGCTTTACAGAGGTTCAAGGGTATTTTCCTAGCTCAGAAGTTTGGATCAAGTTGTAAGTTGTGTTTTTTAAAGTAGATTTGTCATGGTGAGGGGTATGATAAATTACTCAGTTGTTTGGGCATCCAGACATATTCCAAAGACAGTCCAATTTACTGCTGAAATATGAGGTTAAATCATTATCAGCTTTCCCAGCTTCACTGAGATGTTATAAAACACTATTCATCACTCAGAACAAAACACATGGAATCATTCTATTTAATATATTTTTAATAATAGGAAGTGGAAGCTAAAAATTTATCTGCAGGGCCTTGTTCTTAAACATGGTTGAAGTGAGGAAATACGAAGTTCAATATGACTTATTCAAGTCACAATTTTGAAGCTGTAAATCAAAGACAAAGGATTAGGGTGAAAAATTATTTCTGGAATAGTGTTCTTAAATTATTGAACTAAGTATGGCATCTGTTGAATGCATTATTTCTAAGTACATAGTGACTTCTTTTAAGACAGGATGATGTGCAACTGATGTGAGTTGCAGAGGAAAATGCAAATGACAGTGTCTCCATTATTCTCTGGTACCCAAATAGCATCTGCAGGATAATATTTCCTCAGCCCTTTAATGGTTCTCCATGTACTAGTCTGCACAGACAAATAATTGATACTGAGGTTCAATTAAATTCACCTGCATTATGTTAGTGTATAGGAAGTTAATGAAGCCTGGAAAGCTGTATGAAGCTACAGGTTTTGATGTACATGGGTTTTCTTAAAATGTTCTACTTCTTTAAAGCCTCTGAGCACAGGGGCAGACCTTTGTTTAAGGGTATCATTGGAGATTCAATTTATCAGAGTTCCCTGCTTGTCTCTGGCATGGGCTAAATAC